AACAGCTTCTTGGGAGACTGTTGCATTAGCTGTGTGTGATACTCCTACTATACACGTTTTTAGGAAAAGCAATCAACTGTTTAGTTCTACAGAATATTACTCAATTTCTTGCAGAAAGAAAGGCAACTGCAGTTTCTTTTTCTGAGTGCTTGCTCATCCACATTCCTCAGGTATCATCATACATCTTCCTCCTAGCTTCCCCAGTCCTTGTCACACTGCTTGTTTTCTGGCATTTTGTTGTGAATGATGATGATTTGCAGAGGCAGTGTTTTGAGACAATGTTCTCTGTGATATACCACTGCATAGGAGTTAGTGTCTATTTCAAAAGTAAATAAACCCCATAATGTTATTTTTTCTGATCCTAAATTTCTTGTGTCTCATTTATTGATTTTGTTTCAACCCAGTGGATTATGCAAGCCTCTCTCTTCGTATAAAAATTCCTTCAGGTTTTTAACTAGTAGTCACTTTCCTATGAATCTGCCCTGTGTTGCAGGGCAGGAGACAAAATTAGGATTATGTAATAGTTATTTAGCAAAGATGATCTAGCCTAGGAAAATAATATTTATTGTGTTATATACCCAAGTTAACATGTCCTCTTCATCCCCAATCCTGATTCTTGAATCAACAGAGTAAGGGCAACATGACCCTTCTACGCAAAATAGATAAGATGAGATACTGCTCTTATTAAATTGTATTATTTATTGCCTGCCATTATTCTGCTTGTATACTAATGGGGAGTGGAGAAGGAAGATAATTCTCTCAAGCTGCTCTCATCTTACTGAATGGAAACCTTGCAATGCTTTTAAAAGTGAAAATAATAATACCAGTGATTGCTGCAAATGATGATGTATTTTTTTTTCCGTTTATGATCTAGAGGGGCATTACCCACTGTAGAAAAGAAGAGACCAATTGTCACTTAAACAGTTGTAATAGGTACAAATAGTAAAAAAAATAAGACATGAGTGTTTGAAAATGTCAATAGTGCAATTATGGTGCTGTGAAACTTTGGCCAATGGATGAGCTAGAACTGGAGGTGCAGAGTTGGAGCTGCAATTGGACTTTGTGCAGCCTGTGTATTTCACAGCATCGAGGCTCCTCCTAGAAACCAAATCTAACTCTAGAAGTCATTGGGCAGTAAGTGTTTGGAGACTGAGGAAATACTTCGAGGGGGCATAATATATGTTTTTTCTAGTTTTATATTCTTTCCTAGGCATCCCTAGGAATGACCTGGTGAAAGAAAGATGAAAAGTCGTTGTATGATGGGAGGAGAGAACAAGGGGGAAGATATGAGGGTCAAAGGATCAAAAATGGGGATTTCTACCCGGAGATGGGAAGGCTCAGGGGTTAGAAACAGTTCACAATGACCAGGGGACACTGGGCTAAACAGACCTTAGTCTGGTGTAGTGCAGCCTTGTAGCTTTGTCCTCATATAGAAATCCATGCAGTTGGTACCTATGCCAGTGTACTGTCAAGTGTGATAAGGAGCCCTTGGCTTCTCCTCTGCCAGTGGGGAAAGATGGGCATCCAAGTGTCAGTATTTTGGTCAGTTTGGCAACTATTAATATTTTTCCATGAGCAGTCATTCAAGGAATTCATAGGGGCAAGGATATTCTTTTTTTTGGGGGGGGGGGGTCCTACCTTCAACTACCTCTGTCCTTTCTGCTTGGTGGCCTCTTTTCTCACCCAAGAAAATGAACAGGAGGCAAGTGGAGCTGACCAAGCCTGGGAGCAGGTTAAGTGCTTCCTTGGGGAGAGGGGAGGAAGTTCCTTTTTACTCATAGCCAAGCAGTTGAAGATCATTGGATAAATTTTGATAATTGTCATTCCTTCCTGATACTTGCAGGAGAGTTCTGGTAAGTTCATAGTGATCCAAGTCCTAATGACAGAAAGAAAAATAGAAATACTTTGCATGCACATTGTGTCCTAAAGGATGTTGTTAGAACAACTCTTGGTATTTCTGACTTAAGCACTTGATTTTGCAGCTTTCCTATTGTCATGGTAGTTATTGAATTTGAAATTTCCAGCCTTAAAGAAAAGACTGAAGAGATAGCTGATGTATAACTGGGTACCTTTTCTGGCACACCCTACTATGGTGGAACACGAGTATCCACCGGACTGTCACAACATATGCAAAATATATTTAAGTTTTATTTAATACCTTTATGGAGTAAAAAGGAAACATTATTCACGGTATGGAGATTTTATGTGATCATTTTATTCAAAGCAAGACATACCTCCACCCTAGTTTGAAAAATTACTCAAGTTTATAAGTACTTTGAAGTGTCTGTAGCTGATATGGCAGCTGATATATTCAATATACTTGTGGATTTGTTCAATGTGAACAGGGAAAAGAACGAATTTTTTACTCTATGTTCCTTTCTGCTGCGTAATTCAAAGAACTGAGTGAGGTGCCTCTGATCAGAGATGGCGTGTAAAAATTTCAAGCCCTGACACTTGCAGAAATGCATGAGTGCTCATGAAAATGGGAAAAGAAGACAACACTGAAGTTAGTGTTACAGCAGATGACTTCACATGTGTGCCATAGATGTCAGTGTTATTTACACAGAAATATAAAAAAGCCAGTTAAAAGTGTGTAACGTAATGAGTCATTATGGCACAAAAAAAAGGCAACAAACCAACCAAACAACGCAGGTGTTTATTTTTACTAATGATTAGAGCTGTACATTTTTCACTTAAAAAAAAGGATTTCGAGTTCTCTTTCACAGGTTAAGAGGGCAGTAGGTACTCTGAAACGAAAACCTGACAAATAAAGGCTTTCTGTAAATCTTTTATGATAGACTATTGTATAGAATATTCTTAGAAGATGTGTCAGATGGTTTGCATTTTACCTGTGATTACCAGTTTATGAATAACTTTCATTCAAAAAGTATTTTCTACAACAAATGCAGACCTATCAAATTCTCTACTGGTTTTTCATGAGTGAAGTCATGCTCTGATAAAATACAGGTCCTGCTTTCTGATATAAAGTGCTAAGGATTGATTCCTTGATGTTTGGCATCCTAAGAGCCCAACTGAAAGGCAAACAACCACAACATATTTTAATTAACATATATTAATTGTTTGAAATCAAAATTGATTTGGGCTTTTTTTCTTTTCAACTGCAATGACGTTTTAAATGTCAGTCAAAGATCCATTACAAACGAAGGTTATAACCACAAGCATTTAAGTGAAAATGGATGATTTGACATCCTAGGAGCAACAGCCTCCTCCACTTTGTGCTGATGCAGGCTGTATATTTGACAGCACTGAGAGTGTGCTGCTTTAAAACTTGTAGATTCGTTATGGAGCTTTTTTAGACTGTCATGTCACTTTTTCTTGCTCATGTAGAGAATTGTGTCTACAAAGGCCTTTTCTTGTAATTGTTCTGTGTGATGGTGTTTCTTGATCTTGTCCTAGAAGATCAGCAGGATTTTGGATTTCTTTTAGGGGAGCTTTCACATTTATTTTCACAGAAGTTCTACAGATTCTTATAAGCACAAGATTAGTGGTTAATGAGGATTTTTTTTTAATATATCAATTAGAAAAGAACTTGGAGGGGGAGGAGAGAAGGATGGCACTTTGATGGCATATGTAAAGAATAGTACTTTACTATATTATACCTTTTGTTTGTAGATAGTTAATGCATTTAGACAAATTCAGAAAAGTTTTGGGATACATGGACAGTTCTTCAGCTTGTACACCTGAAATGTAGAGTGATCTGATTTTTAGATAGTTGAGTTTGGAAAAGTTCCACTTAGAACCACATCTTTTATGAACTGTAAGTCTGTACTGTGGGGACTGGATTAGAAAACTTGATCATTTCTAGACAGTGGATTCATTCTGAGGGAGTATTCTGGAGAGGTTGAATTTTCCCATTTGATAAAATCATACTGGAATATGGTTCAGTCACTGCTGCCTGGTCTGGAGTTGTGGAGTCCCCTCTTAGTTCATGTCTGGCAAGGAACCTAGTTAGCAACACTTGTTGTATGTTACAAGTGAAACAGTTTCATGTTGAAGGATAAATGGACCTTGTATTTATATTCGTAGTCGGTACTACTAAGGATTGATTTTTTTTCCCTCTAAAATCCAAAACAAAACTCAGCCTGTCTTGTGTTAGCTGTTTTTCTTGGTTGTCGCTTCTACTATAGATTGTACTGCGTTCTGTTGACATTCTTAGTATTTTTTCCTTTACAAAATTGATGTTTTGGGAGAACTACTTAGTTGGGTTTTTTATTTCTTTATTTTTTATTCTTTTTTTATTTTTTTATTAGCATTTTACCCGAATTTTGGGTTCATATGAGCTGTGAATGATGATTGTGTTCAATGACAAAGCTTAAACTTAGATTTAGTGAAGCTTCTTTTTGCCTTTTGTGATGATTTTTCAGTTTGCTTTTGTGAAGTGACTGCTTTGTAATGCCTGTGATTAAATTAGTTACAGTTGTTCTATAGAAGCTATTACAACTTTGTTTAAAATAGAAATGAAAATATTTGATAAATAGTGGAGATGAGGAGAATGAAGGTTTATTCACTCTATTACTTAGAGTGAATAATCTTAAATGCCAGCAGGTGGTCTATTCAAAACTGATAGTACTAGTTGCATTTAGTAAGCCACTGTGCAAAGCAAGGGCTCTGATAATTGCCTGTCCTTATGAGCACAAATGATTGCTAGGAAATAGTGACTATAGCATTGTAGGATGTCATTACTGGAAACCTGTTACATTTAGCTTTATGTCAAATATTTTTATTAGCCATTTGATATGTATATATATTAGAAAATGTAGCATTCTGTGCAGATTGAACTCGTTTCCCATAATAGAATGAATCTCCCTCAGCATTATTTTGTTGGTTTACATCTTTTTGGCAATTGTTATTAGTGTAATAACATAGTATAAACTTGGTTGTGAGTTGAGAAATCATTTAAAATCAAGTTGATTAATTTTAAACTCTCTTGCAATCTTGTTTTTTGCAAATGCAGTACAATAGATTAGCATAGACACTAATGAACAGTCAAAATCATTTATTCCAGTTAAAATCCATTTTAAATTTGTTATAAGCAAAACATATTTTAAGCCTATTTATTATGTGAAAATACTGCCACTGCTGTTCAGCAGAGCAGTTAGGTGTATGCATGTTAGTCACACAGGTACATAAAAATTCAGCTAGACTCTGCTTGAAAGACAGCAGTGGGAAAACATATTACAAAGAGCATAAAGCATTCAATCTCTGTTTACAGTGTTAACAGGTAATTTTTATTAAATTCAGACATAAAATTTTCATTCAGCTTAAGTAAGCCAGAGATAGATGTCATTATGAGATTTACATACCATTAGCTCACATCAGTTGATTAGCAGCTGAGCTCTGTGGTACAAGGCTAGTTAGATACATTATTTGTGATGCCAGGAGGCTGCAGCTGAAGGAGGTTTACTGGCTGCATGCTTGTGTCCTTTGCCTTTGTGATTACTTGATAAAATGCAGTGCATCACTGTGAACAATTGACCCTTTTGAGCAATCCAGACTGGTCAGCAGTCTAAATCCACATTTTAAAGCCGTCATTATAGCCTCAAACTTAAGAGTTTCCAAGGTGCAGACAAAGGTGTTATCCTCCTTCAGTACCAGTCGTGTACCATTTTCAGACTTTATGAAGTACTTGAATTGAATAATATTTGAAGATACTGAAAACTCTTCCGGAAATCCATCCAGCCTGCTTTTAGACACCAGTACAATTCTGGATTTTATTTTTGCAATGAAATCAGGAGCATTACAAAAGATTCTGAGTCCCTGTGAACGGTCGTGGCTGTCAGTTATTTCCAGGAAAGTAGTCTCTCGAGATGCTAGCTGTTCCTTCTCCCACCTTGATTTCACTGCATCCGAGAGTACCTTAAGCTGGAAAAATTCAGCTTCTTGTGCCAAAAGTTGATTTTCTCGAAACCCTTCTGGTAGAAGAAGTTCTCCATTTCGTAGGAAGTTGAGTATGTGTCTGAAAAGGAGTCCATCTCTGTCTATGAAGTAATGACCGTCTGCATCAAATGGACACATTATTCTTCCGTTTATGATCCCTTCCAGAAACGAATCAGGATACTTGGTTAGTGTCTGTTTTTGTGTGATATATAGATAACCACCAACATTCAGAGTAATCAGAGACGTTTTATATTCCTTGTCTTGCTCAGAGCCTTCAGAGTTGCTGGTTTTTTCTTCGCATTCATTTTCCCTTCTGCTTGCTTTTTTCTCCATTATTGAAGCTGAGACAAAAAGCCAGCTATCCTGCTTTGTTCTTGTCAGCTTGTAAAGAGGATGTTTCTTTTTAAAAAGCACCTTTATTCAGCTCCGGAACGATGTTGGAATGGAAATGCTGCTAGCATTGCTCTGACTGCCAGCTTGGGTTTGCAGTAGGTGGCGTATCAGCTGTGTGTGCAGGGTGATAGCAGGAATATGACTGTAAAGGAGAATTTGCATTTAACCGTATAAGGGAAGAAGGGTATAACAGCTGTTTGTCTCCTTCTTTTCTTTAAGTCTTAAGAAGTTTACGTAGCTTCTGGGCTTATCCACAGAAATGCATACTACTGTTCTAAATGACACCTTATCTTTAATACTTGAGGATATATTTGTAGTATCAGCTAGCCAAATCATATTTAGTGCTTAAGGTGTTAAACAGATAGCTTCATTTATGGTCCAAGGATTTTAATTTTCACAAGGCCTCTTTTGACATTTTTTTTTTTGGTAATGAGTATAGTATCTGATGCATACAGCAGGACAATACTGAAAGGAAAGGTGTCCCTGTCTGTACAAGGGGGCTGTCATCTATGGAGTGTGTGCACATGCATGACACTCATTTATTGGACACGTGCACAGCAGTGAGATGTTTCCACAGAAGATACTCTGGAGGTAATGCTTAGGGCTTGTTGGTCTGACTGTTTTAAGTTTTTGGTGAAAGCTCTCATTTGCAGTCACAGGGAATATCCTCAGCAACACAGGATATTCCAACAAGGAGCTGCAGCCTGATTAGGTTTTGCTTACTGCCTTTCTGTGTGCCACAGACAAAAACTGTTTTGGAGGGGGTATTTTCTATTTATATTTGTGATTGCTTTTAAGTCATCAAGACTGTCTAGCATCAGTTTGTTCTTTTTTGATAGAAAAACTGAGCTGCCCTGTGGAACAAAGGGTTAGTGTGCCTAGAGATAGCTTTGAACATCACATAACATTATAGCTTAGCAACACTTGAGTGCGGGGAGGGGAAACATCGTCGGAATCGAATGGCTGTCTTCCCTCCTGTGCTTTAAGCCTCTCTCTCAGTTGCCTCTTAAAAAAAGGTTTCCCCTTTAAACATTTGCAGCTTGGAGCAGGAAAGGGAAAGCTCTCCACACATCTCCATGTGCCTTTCCTTGGGGAAGCGGACGGACGGGAGCCACAGCATGCATTCCCCAGCAGAGGTGGAAGCAAACGCTTACCTTGGGCTAGATCTGGAGAGGAGATCCCATCTTTTTCAAGATGTATTTTTCACTTTACAGGTAGATGTGTCCTGTTTTGCCTGATTAGCAGTGGAAAGGCAATTATTCTTATGTAAATTCTTCTGCTTTATTTCTAAATATTTCTACTGCTCCCACTGTCTCTAAGGCTGTTTATTGATACTGCAGGGTAATCACTATCATATTTATTAATTGATAACTGAATCTAGTGCAAATAAATGCACTTTTTTTTACTTTCTATTCTTCTTGCCAGGGTATCTCTAGCACTTACACACTAAATTTTTCTGCTGCTGTATGTGATATATTAAGCAGATATTATTCATTAGGTTTGATTTATCAGGAATTAGTCATGGTTTTGCTTTTAACTCTTTGATATGATGGATATGTTCATCATAACTTCAGTTGAAGGAATTTCAACTAGTTTCTAATTTTTAAACATTTGGATTTTTTTTAAAATTAAATCCTTTCATGGTTATTGAATTAATAATTGAGAAAATGAAAGAGCCAATTAGTTTCAAGTATGATTTTTTTTTCTGTTACAGGAGACATCCATTCAAATTTAGTTTATTGTCAAGTAATGGAAAATTTACTTAATGGGCTTAGATCAGGCATAGCTACAGTATTAAAGCATCTTATAGTCTGTTAAACTCTAAGAGAATGATTTCTGTGGTGCTTGCATCTTACACAGTGAACTTGAAATACTCTGAAGCTGAACTACGAGTGTCCTGGCACAAATGAGCAGGAGTTTACAAGGAGAGCAGGGATTTGTAAAAGATAAGAAATTTTCCATGGCCAATTAAGCTGTCTACACTTTAAGAGACAGAAGTTACAGAACAGTATCTACTTACTTAAATTTTCATCATCTTCTCACTGTTATAACTCTTGCAGTTGAAATTTTCCACTTTGGTGAACGAGTAAGTATTCTTTGAAAGATCATGCAAAATCGTTCTAGTAGTTTGTATGATAAAATATTCAAAATGAATTTGATGTGGAAAATATACTCTGTGGAGTTCATGAATATTTACATTTAAACCTTTGAGACTTGAAAAATTTAGAGCTGCTGTAAAATTTTCATCACCACAAACCCATGTAACTTTATTTCACTTCAGCTGACAGTCATCTGTGATACAAAATTAAAGCCTGGCATTTCTTGGTGAAAATTTTCCACTTTCTGTGCCATACTACAAGACTTTTCAAAAAAGCCATGGTTATTCCTGTGCACTCAGTGATACATATGGTATTGTCGTGCTTGTAGTTTTAGTGGGGCAGTTTCATGTAGCTCACTATTTTTTGAAGGTGTAGCTATGCTGGATTTCCTTTTTTCTGTCTTTTTGTCCATGCACTGGAAGATCATCCAGAAGTTCATTTTGGCAAAGATATGGAAGTATTTCTTGCAATCAAGTTCGAGACTTTGACCATTTTTGTGCTTTGAGAGTCTTTTTTTGTTGTGTACCAGTGTGACAGCTGAGATATGCTAAATGCATCCCAGATCTTCTTCCTTCCAGCTTGTATTGAGACAGAGTAATTTGTTGCTGGGTGCATTCCCTTGCTGTGAGTGAACTGTCTGCTTCTGCCCTATCCAGCTGAAGTGTCCCACTTGCCGATGTGTGTAGCTAGCAATCCTGAAATGACTGCTGCTTCACAGATTATCAGTGTCACCTGTATGCTGGGATTGGCCATTCAAGTAAGGAGTAGTGCTGGAATCCAGCAATTGAAAGCATATTGTTTTGGTTCCATATTAAGCCAGAAAATATACTAAGCACCCTTACACACACTTAGGAGAGTGGCTGTAGTAGTACTCAGTTTCCAAGTTAGTCACCCTTTGGGTTGCACCAAAGGGCAATCCACAGAGCTTTTCAGTTTCTTCTCGGTCAGACAAGCCATCCTGGAGACAGTGAAAATGCAGTGCTGGTATTTATCACTTACATAGAAAAACAAAACCAAGGAGGAAGAGGCTAGCCTGCTGCTCCTCATTCTGCCCTACAAATTTCCTTTTGGAAAATAAGGTCACTCCCGCTCAGTTTCCACCCTCTTCCTGAACCTCCTGGTCTGGAAGCTTGAGCGTGCCATGGAACTGAGAATTCAGGTCCAGAGCACACTACAGAAAAGTTGGTACTTTACCAATGTTTCAACTTACCTATCCAAAGAGTACCAACCTCACTGACAGTCTGCTGTCAGTGAAAATAACCTGGGTTACAGAAAACAGCTACTTTTATTTATTGCAGTACAAAAGGATATGAGGAGAAAATTCAGCTATAAGACAGAGAGAATTTTAGATGTGTATTAGGAAACCATGCTAATGAAATCCATTTGGGTTATTGAGGCAGCTTACTTGCCATTTAATGTCATAACACAGAAAATTGACCAGGTCGTTGGACAATTAAACCATTCAGTAGCTTCTGTTTCACAATGTTGGTAGCATAGATATTCTCATTCCAGTTATATCTCCAGATGTTGATTAACAGCCATTGAAGCTGTTACGTAGTAACAGCTCTACATAGTAATTAAAATTGAAGATTTTCAAATCAGCAAGTCTGAAAAATTTGCATTCAAGTGATGGCTTAAGGTCCATCTGTTTCTTTATTTTTCTAATTTTTATAAGTTTTATAAGTTGTTATATAGCAGAAGTAGGTTTTAGAAGCAGCAGAACTTATTCCCTTACCTTTAGCATAGTAACTACAACCCTTTTACCCCAATTCCCCATATCAAATATCCCCTGAATTCCTTTAGCAAATGTTTAGTCGCTTGTCAAGGTAGGCCTATTCTGTTTAGAGAATACTCATACTTTGGCCTAAACCGCAGAGTACAGTCAAGAACTAGATGACTATGTGCCCCCTGTACCCTGAAAAAGATGAAGAATGATGAAGAGAGGGTCTCAGAGACCCCAGGCCCAATTCCCAAGAGGTGTGACTGAGGGTGGACCAGGGCAAAAACCGGGGGTGGAAAATCTGGGATTGGACAGGCAGTATTATAAATTGTGACATCTATAACAGAGAGGCACACTCGCATCTTATAGCTTTATGCTTAGGCACAAATTAAATCCTTTCCTTATCTCACCTTCAAAACTAAATTGTCTTGGATTTTTTTCTCCCTGAATTTTCTTTTAGGCATCAAAGAGTTTTCAAAGGGCTTTCTAAGAAACTATTCAGGTTGCTGTTGGTATTTTTAATAATTTTAGAGCACTGCAGTGCTACAAGACTGGAAAAGCAAATGCTGTGCCAGTATTTGAAAGGTGAATTGGATGACACAGGTATTTAAATATGAAAAGGTACTGTACGAAAAACAATAAAATATCTGACTTGGAAATCAATCAATTAAAAATTAAGGGAGAATAATATAATACTGATCAATATGGGTGGAGAGAAAATGGGTGGTGCCAAATTTTTTTGCCCTCTTTTTTAGTTAGAATTTGTTCAGAAAAGCAGATGATGCTTTTTCTGTTAAATCTTGCAGTATTAGAATGTATCATTTTGTATTAGAATGTATACCATATTAGTTTTCCTATAATTTAGCTATACAAAAATTGTCTGCAGGCTTCAAACTGGGAAATGTTAAGTAGAGAATTATCACTCAAATGTTCCTGTGATTTGGTTCTTGGTCCTATGTTTTTTAGTGAGCGATCAAGAAAGAGATAATTACTGGTGATCTTGGAGATGATACTGATGAGAGTGTAATCTGCATTGCTGATGCAGAACCATTTGGATTGTTGGTTGGGATAGTATTTTAACATCACCAAATAGGAAGTTTATATGCCCAGGAATACACCCTAGACAGGGCTTGCGGTGTATATGTTTGTAGGAGAGTTAGGGCAGAAGCTCTGATCTATATATAATACATCACTGGCAACTGAGCATAAGGTCATTTTTCTGTGCAGTGATCAGTAAAACAAATGTAGGATGCATCCTTGGATTCCTAAATAAGGGAATGCCAA